GGTTTGCGAGATCGAGTGAGTTGAACAAGTGTGGAGAAGACACTATAACAAAAATAAAATAAAAAGTAAAAATTTTTAGTATAATTCTTTACTTATTTCAGTTTGATAGGGTAAAGTTATGTAAAGAAATTATAGGAGAACTCGATTGAAGTGTAAGTGGAAGATGATGCGAGGACAATTCAAAAAAAATCAATGAAGTTGTTTTACTTTTAGTTTTAAAAAGAACTTGAATAAAGTTAAAAAGGTTATAAAATTTAATTGATTGATCCAAGTGAATACGATGATTGTAGCAGTTCAATTTGTTAACAAATTTTTTTCTTGAAGGACAGTTGATGTGAATACTTGTGTGATTCTTATACAATGAGACTTGTTGATCAGTTTCGCTTCCGGTGCGGGTTTGTTCACAAGTCACTATTATGATGACGTATGTTAGTTTTTCGATCTAATTAATGAGCTCTTATTTTCAATTTACTCACTGTTGTCCTGTAGGTTTGTTTGTGCACCTCTTTGTTACTCCAACTCGTTTCTTTTGATTAATCGTGTGCGGTGGTAAGTAGGAATAGAACAGTCTTGTTCTGATGGAAGATGTAGTGTGATGTTGGTCAGTATGATTCTCTCGATTCTAATTGATTCAGTTTAATAAAAGGAAAGAGATCTGTGGCTTGATTACTCTAGAGAAAGAAAAAAAAAGTGAGCCGTACCCTTCCTTTTTCAAAGACTTGTTGTTTGGTCCGATCGGAATGTTCGGATCTCTCGATTTTGATCTGAATCCCCCGCGCTTTCTGATAATCAATTTAATTCTTGTTCGCTCTTCCAACTCGTTATCCTGATCTTGATCAAGTAGCTTGGTAGAGTTATCTTTATGATAACGTTGTTGAATTAGTGATCGTTGGGGTTATGTATGTAGTCAATGTCTATTGGGGTATTTGGATTTTCGAAATTCAGACTAGTGTACATGTATATAACAATTACTCGACTCGACAATTTTACAATTGTCACTCGGGTTGTTACTGCTACTTACTCGAGAAATGGTACTCGTAGTAAGTAATTTCAGGGTATCTTTTTAGTAGATGACACTAAAAGAAGAGAACAAAATCTTTTGAAGATGTTGTGAATTAAGCACAAGTGGTTGTGTAGTGTCACTTGGATAAATGGTAGTGTAATGCTTGAAATGATTTTTTCAAGATAGAACACTTTTCTTTTGATTGTTGTTAAAGAATGACAACAATCAAAGTGGGATTAGATTATTTTCAAAAAAAAAAAAAAGGAGTAGAGTTGGTGTTTTCTTTTTATTGGTTGATCTTAATTTGTCTAGTTTTTATGATTTCTCACACTTTTGGTAAAAAGAAGGTTGAGGTTGAAATGTGGGTTTCAACACAATGAGGCCCCCAAATGTGAGGGTTGGGTATTCAAAAGAATACTCAAGGCTCACTAATAATGGCAAGTTGGGTTGGTAATTGTAGATAACTAAAGTTATATTTCAAATATAATGTATTACAATAAACTTATAAGATAAGAGAGAGAAAAAGGGAAGAAGGCAACTGGTCTGTTTGGATAAATCCAGACAGACTTCAGTTAAATGACTCCTTAAAAGGAGGTTCAGGGGTTTAATTATAATATTATTGTTGAAAGCTGGATCCAAGGCTCCCCTTCAATCTTCAAGGTAACTGATTGAAGAGTGATATGGAGGTCACTAACCTGGTTGTAATAAAGTCACCAACTTGTAGTTATTCAAGAGGTCACTAACCTGGAGTTGATGTAGGTCACTAACCTGTAGTTGTTCTGTAGGTACACTAACCTATGAGTTGATATAAGTCACTAACCTGTAGTTGTTCTGAAGGTGACTAGCCTAATGTTTTATTGGAAGGTCACTAACCTGAGGAAGAGTTCTACTTGGGGGAAGTAGAGGATCCAAGGAAAAGGGGGGTGAAGGATGAAATTACTTTGTCTTCTAGTCAGGAACTTCCTTAAAGAAATGAAGTGAATCACTAGTCTTATTTATTATAAGACTCTTGATTATATACTTCAATTGAACTTTAAAGTGCTCTTTAAAAGAGGTGTGTAATAAAATGCTTGAGGGGAAATCCTTGAAGGCTGAGAGAGGAGGGGTTTATATATCCTCCTCTCCAAACCTAATTGTAGTGATATTTGATTGTATCATCACTGTGGTTTAGGGTTCAATAATTACTATTAATTATTATTATTATTAATATAACATAATTAAATATACGTGTTATGTATTTTATGTAGTATAAGCATTTGAACTCTTGGCACTGAGTTATGAGGTGTAATTGGTATTTTATTACATGTTACATATGTTTTTAAGTGTATATACATATGTAATTGGTGTTTGTATATGTTTTATTATATGTTACATGTGTTTTATAAGCTGTATGTACATGTAATAAGGTTTATAAGTAAAAGTACAATATTATAAGTTAGTTTTGGGTACATGTATATGTACCCAGGGCTGACAAACAAGAAGACAAGTCTGTTAAATTCTTGTTGTTTCTCATCATTGTCGTTTGAAGACTTCAAAAGACGGTCGATGTCTTTTCAAGGAATTTGGAGCGGGCATTGGTGAATGGCTTTTTGGATTGAGTTTATGATAAATTCATTTCAAAATCAAACCACTGTGGATCTGATTGTTTCACAGTGATTTATCTTTGGTAAATCACACTTAACATCATCCTGTAGTGGATTTCATGCGGTTACCATCTTTGGTAAATCACGCATGATCAAATTTCGCGCTCAGGAACACAAATTTTACAATAAATCACTGTCACCATAGTGGGTGCTCTTAGTTTTTCGTTTTGATTGAGTTATCGAGTGTGTTTCCCATCTTAGAGTGTTAGAGTCGAGCTTTTCTTGTTAGAGTTATTTTAAAAGCTTTATCGAGTTAGTTAAACCCTTAGAGCATCCGCACTCGTTTGCGGTTGTTAACTTGGTCAAGTGCGGTAACAAACACTACATTAAGTAAAAAGTTACTTGTCTCAAGCAAATTTCGCACTCGTCTGCATTAGCCGCGCTGTAACTTTTATAACTTTACAGATAACGCATGTGCTCCACACCGGTCATGCAGTAAGGTAAAGTTTAGATTTTTTGAGTACAAATCACCTGCTTTCCTCGCAAGTTTTCATATGACAAAGCACCGTCCTCTTCTTTGCACTGGAGGACTGAAGATATTTTCGAACTCTCCATCTACACATGAGGATCCAATATCATCTCGTTCATCTACTTGATCAATAGATCTTGATTTAAAAAGACAAAGTCAACATGACTTTTGACTTTGTTCAGCTACTCAATACATGAATTTCAGTTAAAAAACAAGGGCTTTACTACGTTGAGAAAGCTTTCAATGAGTGTGAATATACATAATGATTTTGTAAAAGATTTAAAGGTTTAAAACTAGTAAATAACAATGAACAATCTTGTAAACAGATCTAAACTTTTTTCAATTTTTGATTTGTATCACTTGATCTTCAAAGTCCTCCAATGATTAGTCTTTTGATGTTAATTTTCTCATATATTGACCTCTACATAGCTATATGAATCTTGATATTCTTCATTTTCATCCGAATGGTTTGAAGTCAAGTTGAAGATATTTGATCGACCTATTTTAATTGAAAAAGGACAGAAAAATTAACAATAGAAAAGACATTGATCAGTGTTGAACATTCTTGAGTTGATTCATGTGACTGACTTTGTTGGGTGTGAGAGGTGAAAAGGAGGTGTTGGTTGTTGACTTTGGTGTTGGAGGTTGGGTTGAGTTTTGTCTTTGGAGTTGAGTTGCCTTGAACAAGCCGTGATGCGTGATACCGCATGCGTTAGCCAATCGGTTAATTTACCGATTGGGTAACACAAAACAATCAAAAATTAAGTACCGCGGGGCTAATTTTCCACTGGTGTGGAAAATACCCTGCGGTTGCGGTAAATTTAACCTTACCGCACCCGAGTTACCGCACGAGTGCGGATGCCCTTATAAGGGTATTAGTGTTAGTCTTTTCAATAGTATCAAGAATCAAGAGTGTGACAGTTGTGTTTTGTTTTGTGAAATCTTTGTTTGTGAAAGGTCTTTTTGTGAAATTTGTTACAGTAGTGTGTTGATTTTGGCATTTCAACAGTTTTAGAGATATTCAAATGAGTTTTTTTAGTACAAAAATTAGTAAAATTTTTTATAGTTTAAAAAATTGTCTAATAGAAGTTTAAGCAGCATCTAATCAGCATCAATTATTTTAAAAATTATTTTTTCATTTTTTCATTTCAAAGAATTAGTTTTGAAGATTTTTTTTAAAATTGAATCGAACTGTGAAACATTATCAATTATTTGTATAACTTTGTTTATCCATTCTATAGCCCTAGCTTAAGCACGTTTAGTGTTTAAGGGCCTCGGTGACCACTCTGTACAGTCTTTAGACTTGTTGGAGCTCTTTTGGACCAGGTTCGGTACTGATTTTATCAGTGGAAGTAGTAAATTGAAGTTATTACAGGTGTTGGTTGTGTGTAGCAGGAAGGTTTCTTTTTGAATTGTATCCCTCTGCTTCTTAACTTAGAGATTATTATAGGTTGAGGGCAGCTTAACTGCACTGTTGTACTCCCATTCTCACCGGCGGTACTTCATCCCCTCTCCAGCTCAGCCTACGCTACACTGCGTAGGAGTTCTACAATGTGTAAAATGAATCTTCTGACCATGATCACCTACAAGCTCTGCTTCCTTTGATTGCATAGTTTGATGAAACATACTCTTCCCACTCCAGGCAATCTGAACTACATACTTGGTGCCAAAATTAATGGTGATTCTATACTCAGGAAAAAGGAACCAACCCCCTTCCAGCCAGAATCCTTCAGAGCAAGTCGCTATCCTTCTACTAACTGAATGCATTGGATACCATATGCAGTATACCTTCCCCTTGTCATTGTCGGTATGAGGTTTGTTGAAAAAATTATGAAATGTAAAAGCGAAATTACCCGCAAAGTCGTACTCCTCGGGAGGTTCGTCCTTATTCGTGGCAGTCATCGCAGGGGCATTCAAAGTTCTGAGCTGATTTCTGGCGGCGAAAAAAGCCTTGTCGGCAAAGGTTTCAAAGCATGACCCTACATGACTGCCAAAGTTTCGAAGCTCGCTGAGAAAGAGTTTGTAAAGCAACAGCAAGGCACCATGGCAAGGAACGTAAGGCGAATACAGTATCTCTTTAGCATAACCAGCACAAGCACCAAAACAAAACATTTTCCCATGAAGAAGGGCGCCATCCGTCGTGACATTTTGGCCTTTGGCTTTGAGAACTGCAGAAGTAGTTTTAGCGTTGACAATCTTACGCTCCTTGTTGTTCGAAGCCTCCAGGACTGATAGTGATGTGAGAGGCAATGATTCGTTAGAAGGTGCATACTGAGTTGGATCCTCTAGATTGCGAACTCGATTTTCAATGTCTTGAGCTAGGAGATCAATAGTTTCACCATGAAGCATTTCCCTAAAATCTATTTCATCAAAATTGGAGCCAGGTACCGATGAAAAAGGCAAATAACACAAGGAAGCAGCTTTGGCAGGGGTAGGAAATGGCGGTGAAGATGGCTGAGTATGGATTTTTCCCACGGTAACCTGTAAAGGATTTGGTTGTAAGGTACTAGGTTTCGAGTTGGATTTGATAGAACTGCTATTCAAAGGTGGAATTGTAATCAAGGAACCAGCACTAGGGGTAGGTAACCTTAGGAAGAGTTCTGTGGCCTTCATGACTGTATCCACGTATTCCCACGGTGTCCAGCTCACAATCTTTTGCAATCAGGTCCAGCAACCACTGGATAACGGCAAAAGCATAATGGTTTCTGAATAAATCATGATTAATTCCGTGAAACAGCATTATAATAAGCTTCAAACCCACTTTTCCCCACTTTGGATCAGATTGATAAGTTTGAGGACATGGTCATGTCTACATGCCATTCCAAGCAAACCCGATTCATCCATATTCTTGAAGTGGTGTTTCCCTCGGACATCGTTAGCGGCGGTATGAGCCTCGGTGCACGCATGCTACATTGATATCTATATGTTAGTAAAGATGTACGTATTAGGACCTACAGTTCAGCATAATGGAATACGTACAACTTCTTCAACCACGTCTGGACCTTGTTTCATGAATTTTTCCTTGGCTTCAACTAGTTTTGGGTCCAGGAAGAGGCCGGGTTGCGGTGGCAGTGATCCTGGAATAGCTACACTGGCACAAGCATGTCGTTTATGCTGGAAGTTTCCGTCCAGGCATACCAAAATCCAAGGCTCCTCAGGGCGCGTGACTCCAACAGGTGGTCCAAAACATGCCGGACAACTTGCCACAAGAACTCCAAGTTCTGACAATTGAAGCTTTTCAATTTCCAGCACACGTATCTGGTTGATCAACGACCGGTAGGCATCCACGGCTAAAGAAAATGGCTGTGACCAATTTCTTGGCTAATAAAAGGGAATCAAATCAGTCAGTGACATGGAATCAATTGTATAGAATCGAACACTAGTGGTCAGGACCATACCTGACCACTAGATGTCAATATGACAGGATTGCTACTATCTAGTGCAGAGTCTAGGGTGTTGCAAAATCCTTCTGTTGGTACAGCAAACCTTATCCACTGGGAGTGGTGATGAACTAGCAGTCGAATGGAGAATGCTGTTCGTGGCTTCAAAGGCAATGCAGCCATGTACCCCACCTGCAGAAGCCTTTGAGGGTCGGATAGATCACAATTTTTGCAGAACAATACTTTTGTTCGACATCGGGCTACATCCAAAAACGTGAGTAAATTATAAAGTTTATAATATGAAATCGTATAAATCTTTGAATTTCTACTTACATAAAAAATCTACCAGGTCGACATTGTGCTCAGTCCTCATTGTGCAGTTGCACACCGGTCTTAAGTCTTCATTCCATTTTGTTTGATCTCCCCAGTTCAAAGTTTTTAACCTACCTCGAAGGAATGTCGGCAGCATGATAGCATATTGCCAAAGCCATTGTTTTTTGTGGGCTAGTCGGTCTGCCAGATGAGCTTCTCTGTGTAAAGCAGCCGAAATGGGGTCCTCTGCATTATCCCCAACCGGCGGTGGGGCTCGATCTGGCATAAATCGATTTAGGTCAATTCCTTCATCCTCTTCGCCTACCTCATCTTGTTCCATCTCATGCGCTTCTGCTTCCTGAGCATAACCTCCAACATCTACTCCTAAATGCTCTTCTGCTTGCGGTAGATCCGGTGGATTGAGTTGATTAGCCAACGCAGCATTTGACGCTTCAGCATGCGCCAAGTCTTGTGCTTGTGTCCTGAGGAGCTGTTGCTGCAAAGGAGTAGTTGCTTTGGGTTGCACAGAGCGAAACGGTGGTATTTTACGGTTGGATGGCATTATAATTTATGAAGAAGGTCAGCTTGAACTGCAGTCACCTTATAGCAAGTGAGGAATTACCTGAGTCGACCAATTGTCGATTCAAACGCCCCAATGAAATTTTGATTAAATAGTCGTGCACTGTCAAGCCAGGGGCAAATGAGAAATTTGAAAGATAAGTATCCTATTTGGGAAGTAGAATTGAATGAATCACACTTATCCAACGAAACGGACCATCATACAGTGCCGCACTGTTGAAATTGGACACATAGTGCCATGGGTCGAGTATTTCCTTAGTGTGCAAAGTGATTGCACACGGTTGTTCAAATGTTGGCGTTAGTCCTAATCCGTCCTGAAATCATTTGGCCTGCTGACCATTCAAGGTCATCGGTATTGGTCTGAAAATCGTGTGATGCCTAATATGTATGTAAACAACGGAGCGTCAGCAAGTCCTTTCCAATACAGTATACTACACGTAATTAGGAAATTATGTGTTTTCACTTACCATCTTGTTCGAATCAATCAGATATCTCGTTTGAATCAATCAGGTGGGGTGGATGCCGATTGTGAGTAATGAAGAAATCGGTGGTGCTGGTGATGAGTATTGTGAATATTTACTAGAAATACATAGACATGGATAAGATTTAATTCCCATACAGATTACAAATGTGACAAGGATGTCACATGATGTCAACATCTCAAAGAATTGACACGTCAACCCAGATTAAATTCTGGGATTAAAATGTCCAAAGGTCACACACCCGCACCCCATATTTATTTAGTCAACATACCTCTTGGAATGAAGATGGTAGCACTTACACTAAATAAAAAATACTGCGAAATATTCAATGTTAAAGTTTAAAGTTTATAACTAGCCAAATTGAGCGGCGGGCGCCGCACTTGTAAGAAGGGCACATCTTAGATTGATTTGTAAAGCCTGCTGGAGGCTATGCTGGATCAAATAATACCTAAGAAGGAAAACTTCAATGTTAGGTCCAATTGGTTGGATGAAAATCCAGCAAAATCTATATCATAATATCATGTTGATCACTGGATACATAATGGGTAACATAGCGCTAGCCTAAGGGCACGTTTGCTTAAGCAATTTGGGGTCAGAAATCACATTCTGCAAAATTTTAAGGTGCTGGTTTGGTGGAGCTTAGTCAATTTTTACATTTTTAAATTTCCAGAATGTGATTTCTGGACAGAAATTGCTTAAGTGAACACACCCTAAGTGTGAGGTTAGTGGCTCTTTAAAGGGAGGCTACACTCACTAAATGGTAGTATTGGGACTAGGTATGTAGTGAAGTATAATAAATATTATTATATTTCAGATTATAACTAGTTACAAGGGTAGAGGAAGGAGAGAGAGAGAGATGATATGAGTAGGAGAGGATTAGTAGAAGTTTAAACAACTAAGAGTCTGCTAGGACAAATCCTGGCAGACTACAGTTAGTTGACTCTTAAAGAAGAGATTTGATTTACAATTATGTAAGGGATGAGAACAGGATCCCAATGTTCTCCAATATCCTTCTTGGTAATTGGATAAAGAGTGATTATAAGATCACTATCTTGGTTATCTCTTAGAGGTCACCAACCTGTTTGGTTATTATCTTGGAGGTCACCAACCTATTGGTTATTATCTCAGAGGTCACCAACCTAGTACAGAAACTACTTAGGGGAAGTAGAGGATCCAGAAGGGAAGTATATAACTTACTTGGATCTAGTCTGGAATAATCAAGGTAGTATAGAATGAATCACTAGTATTACTATTTGTAATACTCTTGATTTTTATTCTATTAGAACTCTTGATGGTTCTTTAGAAATAGGTATGTATAAACTTGGTTTCTTCCCTGAGGATGAACTGAGTTTGGGTTTATATATTCAGCTCTTTAAACCTAGGCCGTTGCTATTTGCAGCCCACAAGAAAACCATGTAGGCGCTGGCCAAATTACGCCTACATGGGTGTTTCCCACGAAGAAGCGCCTACATTTATGATGTAGGCGCTGGAAACCATCCAAAATGACGCCTACATGGGTTTTTTAACGTGTAGGCGTCATTTGGTTACGCCTACATTCAAAAATTGAAATGTAGGCGCTATTTTCGAGCGCCTACATGGGAAATCCAATGTAGGCGCTCAAAATTTATGCCTACATTTTTAAAAGTGAGTGCATACATTCAATTTTTGCGCTCAAATAAGCGCCTACATGCAGTCCTGCATATGTAGGGGCTACAAATCCGGCAACTACAGCTCCAGACTGGTCTGAAGGGTAATGGAGAACAATTTGCAAGTCAAAATGAGAGTATTGGAAGACGGAAAAAGCAGCTTGGACTCAAAATGAGTGTATCGGAAGATGGATAAAGCAGTTTGGAGTCAAAATCAGTGTATCAGAAGACGGAAAACCACGCCGGAGTCAAAATGGGTGTATCAGAAGACGGAAAAAGTAGTAAATTATTTCAACTCTGAACTCAGTTTGGAGTCAAAATGAGTGTATCAGAAGCGGAAAAAGAGGTAAATTATTTCAACTCTGAACTGCTATTTACGTCTTCTGATACGCTCACTTCAGAGTTGAAAAGAGCATATTCATCTTCCAATACGCTTAACTGCTTTTTCTGTCTTCCAAAACACTCATTTCAACTCCAAGCTGCTTTTTCCATCTTCCGATACACTCATTTTAACTCCGAACTGCTTTTTCCGTCTTCCAATACTCTCATTTTAACTTGAAACTTCTTCTTCATTAGCCGTCAGACCAGTCTGGAGTTGTAGGTGTTGGATTTGGAGCGCCTACATATGCAAGACTGTATGTAGGCGCTTATTTGAGCTGAAAATTGAATGTAGGCGCTCGAAAATATCGCCTACATTTCAAATTAGATATGTAGGTGCTCAAAAATTACGCCTACATTCTGGAATTTTGAATGTAGGCGTAACCAAATGACGCCTACATGGGTTGTTTATCATGTAGGCATCATTTTAGATGGTTTTCAGCGCCTACACCATAAATGAAGGCGCTTTTTCGTGGGAAACACCCATCTAGGCGCTGTTTTGGCAGCGCCTACATGGTTTTCTTGTGGGCTGCAAATAGCAATGGCCTAAACCTAATATTGTGATATACACAAGTGTTACAATATTAGGTTTATAGTTATTTTTTTTATTATTTTTATAATTACTTACACTTAATGTTATGTTCAGTAGTCATTAAGTGTTTTATGCTATATAAGCATTTTTAACTCTTGATACTGAGTTATGAGATGTTACTATTGTTTTTTGTATGTAATCTTATATGTTACATATTAGTTCTTGATTACGTATATATGTAATTAGTGTTATATACATATCTTATTACATGTTACATATGTTTCTAAGATATATGTACATGTATTTGGGTTTTATGAATAATATTTATATTTACAAGTTAGTCTTTGGGTACATGTGTATGTACCCAGGGCTGACATTCCCCACCCTCAAAGGAGGTCATTACTTCTTTTCAGGAAGTTTATGAGCTCTTTTCTGGGCTCTGAATTCTCTCAGGGTAGTTTTTCCATTGGGTACTTTGTCGGCTGGTAGCCATTTGTCCTCATCTGCACTTCTATTCTTCTATCTAACTAAATAGAGTGTTATGGATTTACCATTAATATTTGTTTCTCTTTGTTTGATGATTTTGGAAAAAATCTTTTCTCCATCTGTCTCAAATTGTATAGGTGCTTGTTTTGGTATTTCTCTATCAGGGAATTTGCTTTTATCAGAAGCGTGGTATTTCTTAATTAATGAAATAGGGAAAACTGGGTGTTTCCGTCCAAACTCCTCTGTCAATGCAACCTCTACTGCATTGTTCCCATGAAATTTCAATATTACAAAAGGCCCTACAAACTGGTCTTGAAGTTTCTTTGGTCCTTGTAAGTTAGTGAAATTTGTAGTTGAGAGTAGAACTTGTTCTCCCACCACAAATTTTGGTTCTTTATGGCTTTTATTCCATCTTTCTTGATTGTATGTTACTGCATCTTCAATGCTTGTGCTGCTCGAGCTCGTGCTTTACTTAACATATCAAAGAAGCTTAAAGACGTTGGATGGAATTCAACATTTTTATTCTTTATTTGATCTTTAGGTAGTCTCGGGCAGTATCCTCTTTCAATCTCAAAGGGCTTCTTTCCTGTAGTGCTATGTATACTACTATTGTAGGCCAATTCTAAAGCTGGTAGTAAGGTATGCCAGTCATGTGTAAATCCGTCTTTGTCTGTGTATGCTAGACCTTCTGTGCAATATCTTCTGACAATTTCAGTCAAGGTGCTGATATTTCTTTCACTCAAGCAGTCAGTTTGAGGATGGTATGCGGTTGAAAGTGCTAGTGTGGTTCCAATAAGCATATTCAAACTCTTCCAAAATTCAGAAGTGAACTTGGGGTCTCTATCACTGATTATTATCCGTGGTACACCTACATCACTTATTATTCTTTCCCAGAACAACAATGCAATGTCCATTGCGGTTGATTCTTTGTAACAAGGCAAGAATCTCGTCCTTTTTGAAAATCTGTCTACTATCACCAATACACAATTATAGTTGTTTATTGAAGATGGAGGAAGTCCTGTAACAAAGTCCATGTTAATGACTTCCCATGGGTATGTTGGTTCTTCTATCCGTTGTAATAATCCAAATCTTTTTCCCGTAGCTTTGTTGGCTTTTTGGCATCTTTCGCAAGTCTTTACATATTCTTCAACATCTTTTCTCCAACTTGGCCACCATGCTGTACTTCTGATTCTGTCAATTGTTCTGTCTTCTGATAAATGTCCTGACATAAATTCATCATGACATACATGTAGTGTTTGTTGAATGTGTTCAGGTTTAACTATAATTAAGACTGAACTATGTTTTTCTCTGAAATATAACAAGCCTGATTCAAGCGTAATTTTTCCTTGATCATATCCATCTTTCCGTGGTTGCTCAAGTGTTGTTGATAAACTCAGGTCAGTTTTCTGTATGGAAAGAATTCGAACAAGTTTCGTAGTGTTACTATTTCTTTTGTAAC